GCCTCACAGTATTCAGAGACATGCCGGACTGCCGTGGAGAATGTGCAGCGCTCGTTTACTAAGCCCCTGTTTCCAGTGTCATCCACACTACCGTATCGTCTTCGCTGCTTGTCGCTTGGGCTGGATCCATTATGGCTAAGGCGCATCAGGTTGAATCTAGGCCTTCTGCATCGCTTAATCTACCGGCGGGCGAACATAGCTGACTGCTGCCCTGAATTTTCTTCCTGTACTTCCTGTTATATACGTAACTCAGGATGTCTACTCCCACTGTCGACATATCGAACTGTCTTTAGACAAAACCTTTTCCTTTGGCTTTCTTTTAAATTATGGAACAAGCTCCCCTCTCATATCCGTACTATCTCATCTCACGTTGGCTTTCGAAAGGCCATCGATTCTTATCTTTCTATTGGGGGAGCTGAGCGTCTCTTCGCGCCTCAGCTTACACTAGACACTTCTTAATAGGCCCTAAGCCCTTCTAATCTGCGCATTCACCCTGACTGTCATGTTATTAAGTCCTAGCACTTACACTTTCGAGCCTTAAACCCTTAGCATTAGTCCGCAAGTGCGACAACCACCCTCCCAAGTGTCCTTATCTATAAACTCATCTATAACCTGCCACTTTATCTCTCTCATGCCCTTCTCCACTGACCTACTTGCATATCCCTCCTCCGGCCTTAAGCTTTGTACCCAGCATAACTGTTCCTAGTTTTTCAAGCTTGTTCCCATCCCTGAGTAACTCTGTCAGCTCTATTTAATGACTGGTGCTTTGATTTGACTGGATTCACCTAACCTCAATCAAACTGAAGCCTCAGTTCCACGCTGTTTCGAACTACTCCACATCCCCTGAACACACACAGCGCACACATATCAGATGGTGGGTCTGAAGATGCGCTATGGATGAAATACTTGTTTGGCCCCACAGCCCAATCATTCACACGTACACATAGCACGGTGCACCTCTACTTGACAGAGTGGTTCACACCAATGTTTCGCCTTCGTTTAGCCATTGTACACAGGCTCTGAACATCTCCATTCTACCCCCATTGCCCAAAAGGTAGTTGATGTTTCATATGCTTCCGCGACTTGCCTCTTCCAGTGGTTGTTTGCTGTTTGCTTGTTCGAAATGACTGAGCTGTTTTACTGGCCAGTCTTTCCCCCCGACCGGATCAAATACCTGGTAGCTGGAGTTATTTATTAATGCACACACCGCACTTATGACTGCTTGGATGGTTTTTCAACATGCAGATCTGGTAGCGTGCACGAGGGATAAAAACTCGTGCGGTGGACGGGTACGCTCTCCAGGGAGGGTCCCCTGTTACGTTGCACCACGGTGCGTCCGTATATTCGCCAGCCCACCAGTAGCACGGGTGTATCGCCCATCCCGGTGGTCCTGAGCCTGGCCTTTAATTCATGAAAACCAAAAAAGCAGAGTTGCTGTTTGTCTGTAGCTGCAGTTGCCCAAACGCCCCTTCGAACTGTTATTCATTCAAACTGGCTGGTACCCGGTCTACACTCACACGGTCCTCCAACAAAAGGGAAATTATCTGTGAGCCAACATCTGCATGATTTCCTGTGTCAATCTCCGTCTCACCTAGAACCAGCTGCCACGGAACTGTGAATCCCTTTTCCGACACTTGACAGTCACGGAGCTGTCCGTAAACCGAAGCATATCAGTGCGATGGTGGCATGGCACTGTCATACCCAGTGAGATGGCACTCCCGCAAATATTATCTCCAGAATCTCGACCGGGACCCCTCGCCAACTCGAGCATGTAGCCACAACTTCGAGCAGTTCTCATCTAGCCCCGTCTCTGGGATGAACTCTTCCGTACCCAATGATTTTTCGCTCAGATTTGGCTAGCCTGGGTTTCTGCTGCGACTTCGGCTTCCCTGTTGCACAAGTTCAAATCCGCATACGGAGGGAGTGTCGCCCTGTGCATGAGGAAATTGCCCCCATCCAACCTATTCCCTGCACCTGACTTCCCTACAACAGCGCAACCAGTGAGTCTGCTTACTTTCAGATTAAGCCATATTTTTGGGACAAAACTTGCCATGTGATCCCAATTTGAATTATTCCATCTCCACTTTTGCTCGCTGTGACTCTGGCCACTTAGTCAACTGCCCAAGGTCACTCATGGCCAGCTGGCTATGTCTTTGAACAAGTCGGACGACATGCCCATTGATCCCAGCAGGTTGGGAAATAACTCATCATTTCTATATCATCGGGGTTTCCCGTTGTTTATGACATTGTCCTCTTTTTGTGCAACCCGAACCCCCACATATCCCCCAATCAACAGGATTTTTACCGCTGACCCAGCAAACACCCGGCAAGTGCATCGTATTATTTTCAAGCTCATAGCGCATAAATTCATCAGGCAAAATTTTTTCTCATTTCGGTAAGTAGCTGCGTGGAATGACCTTCCTCCGGCGGTTGTACACGCTCTTTCCAGAACCCAATTTAAAGCACCATTAGACATTTATTTATGCAAATCCTGGCGCTGGCAAGCACACCGCCCCGCGCTGAGAACATAAAGAGCAGTGCTGCACCCTTTTTTCACTTGTACCGTTCAGGTCAATGACAGCCGCTGAACGACAAGAACAAAACCGACCCGGGAAACTAGGACAAAACCTTGATCCAGTGTATGAATCTGCGAATCCGTGAAACACATACATGAAAACAAAGCGAACCTGTAAATTGACTCATTAGTTACACCTGCAGTTTCAGGAGCTTTAGGATGTATAAATGCTAACTTCTATCACCAAGCCCCATGCTTCTGTCCAGTCTTGTTTTCTCTCAAGTCCACCCCTGGGAAACGTACTGATCCGTGTGTGCTGACCTTCGATTTCATCTGCTAATGGGCCAGCAATCCCAAACCTCAAGCGTGGTTTCGAGACTTCCGCCGTGCAGACTTCTCAGGAATGCGCATCTTCCTTGAACAAGTCACACTGGGACCAGCCCCGGAGGAAGAACTAAATAGGAACATTGTCAAGAAAGTTCACGAGGCTGATGCGACATTCGTCCCAAAAAAAACCGGCACGCACTCGGATGAACCGCAGGATACGAAAAAGGCTTCGGCGATTCTGGAAAAAAGATCCCAACCCTTTTTCAAAAAGTTGACCACAGGGGATACAGAAGATGAGCTGGCATTTCGTAAAATGCGGAACCGCTGTAAATCGGAAATC